ATTTGTCGAATGTTGTGTATTCATGTTTCAGGCAAGGGCTTTCTCAACTTCGTCTGTTCAGCAGCAGTTAGTAAAAGTAAGTTTATGTAAGTGTGGGGAGAGCATGTATTGACGGCCTGCAAAATTGTTAACCTAACTGATCGAATAAACACTGAGTGCTCGAGCCATGCACCCCGCCTCTTCGTTGAACGCACTCTTGAGCTTACCTTGGGACGATAACTTATTTTTTTAAGTCGCAATATTATTATTAATTCGTTTTATAATTGAGAAATACTTGTGAATTAACAAGTTATATTTGTGTGGGTACTTCAAATCGAATTGCACCAAGACGTTATGTCGGACATAAAGTAAGAAGCTTTAAATATCTGTTTAAAATTTTCATTTTAGCACATAGAAGCACTTAGATATTATAGCATATTCATTGCACATTTATTATATTTTTAGCCTCCTATTCAAGTGTTTGGACTTGAAGGACGATATGCTACTGCACTCTTTTCTGCTGCCAGCAAGCAGAAACAGCTAGATGCTGTAGAGAAAGAACTTGTTAAATTTAAGGTATGTTCTGTACTCTCACATTTATTGTTACCAAGAAAATTTGCGTGTCATAGTTCTTGTTGAACTTAATAGTTTGGTGAATGATTATTACTGTTTGTATTGGAATCAGATCCTGTGAACCTGTATTTGTTTATAAGCTTTCTGTCATAACTACAGAAATTACCCTTATGCAACAGTATCTAAAACTTAAATAATTGTAATATAAAATTTTGTAGAAAGTATTATTTTAGAAGATAAAAATTTACAGTTCCATGATTAACTTCATTGGGTTGATAACATAAAATTGAACCCACATTCATGGTTAGGATGGTCATGGTAGTAACTAAATATAATTTAGTTTAAAGACATAGATGCATGATCCTATTGTAAAGTTATGCCTTTAAGTATCATAGAGTGAGATCTGAGTTTATAAAAACATTCATACATATAGCAGGTTTTGTGAGAACTTATACAAAATCTTACTTCGAAAACTTGAAGGGAAGAGCCTACTTAAGATATCTAGCTGGAGGTGATTAGAGTAGATCAGAAACTAAGATGTGAGGGTGTGGACAT